GGAGAGACTACAGGACCTGAACCTGTTCAGCCTCCACAAGAGAAGGCTGAGGGGGGATCTAGTGGCCATTTACAAACTAGTCAGAGGGGACCAGCAGGCACTGGGGGAGTCCCTGTTCCCCTGAGCACTACCAGGAGTGACTAGAAATAACGGTCACAAGCTGGCTGAGGGTAGATTCAGACTAGATACCAGCAGACGCTACTTCACTGTCAGGGAGGATCTGGAACCAACTTCCAAGCGAAGTGGTACTGGCTCTTACCTTGCGGGTATTTAAGAGGAGGCTAGATTAACACCTTGCTGGGGTCGTTTGACCCCAGTACTCTTCCTGCCATGGCAGGGGGTTGGACTCGATGATCTGCTCAGGTCCCTTCCAACCCTACTAACTATGAAACTATGATTGCTCTGTGTCTGGTTAGGTACAAGGGCCACACAGGAATCATTCTCAAAATCAAGTCACATTTTTCTTTGTGTCCATGAGAACTGCATATTTGGGTATGCGCTTCTTAGTTCTAGTATATCAGACGACTTTCTTTAATTAAATCTTAGAAAAAGAAGAAAAAAAAGAGAAAGCTCCTGAGAAGCCAGCTGTTCTTGAAAAAAGAAAAGCAGGTAGGAAATGGAGATCTGTCTGTTTCCACAATAGACATCTGATTATTTAATATATGCATTTTCAGTTTTTAAATATTTAAAAAATGTGCATATGTAAATTATTATTATATCAAGTGCTTTGTTTTGGGGTTTTTTTCTCCCCAGGTCTTTGGATTCAGGATTTTGACAGAAGCAAATTTTCCCTGTCATACATAAAGTCATGCTGTAGCATAAATAACTTCACTCAGTGTATATAGTGTTCTGTATTGGTATGGCCTTGAATTCTGCAAGGACAGTTTTTCATGTTCAAATAATTTTAGCTTCAAATAGTAATACCTGATTCAGTGGGAGAAAATACATTGTTAGCTATTCTATTTCCTAGTACAGATTCTTCACCTGTACTAGAAAAAAGACTAATATGTTCAAAAAGACCCTAGCAGAAGCACTCTAATTACTGCACTTAATTTTATTTTTCTCCCTTCCCCCTACCATCCCATCCCTGCCTCAGTTCCTGGCATGGGAAAAAGATGATCCAGGCATCGTCACACTGTAGCTTCCGGCTGCCATTGCCAGGAGGTTTGGGTGGGGTGGGAGGTGGTAATGGAGCCTCCCTCCTGCATGAACCTGGCCTGGTCCCCTGCCAATACCCCAGCCAGCAAGCTGTGGTGGGGGCCCTCACAGCGGGGGAGCTCCCTTTCCTCCTGTCTGAGCCTCCTGATAAAGACAGTGACAAGGTGCAGTGTGGGGCTGCCTGGCCCAGCTTTTCACTGCACCAGGAACTGAGGCTGGGCTGAGTGTGTGTGTGTGGGGGTGTGTGGAATGGAGCCTCTCTGCTGCATGGACTCGGCACAGCCCCCACCAATACCCAAGCCTAGAAGCTTGGCAGGGATCCATGTGGCAGACAGGCTCTGTTTCCATCCCCCCATGCCCCCACCCAACCACACAGGGAGGAAACAGAGCCTCTTCTGTCTCCTATCTGTGACAACCCAAGGGTGGGACTGGGCCGGTGCTCACCCAGAGCAGATGAGTATAGGCTGAGGCTAGCAAGCTGCTCAGCGAGGGTCCCTGGGATGGCAGCAGAATGTGACCTACACTGAAGTGCAATAGATGTGGTACACACATTCAAAAAAGTGGTCTAACCTAAGGTGCTTTAGTCTACTGTCACATCCATTGAGGGTTAACGTAGAGTAGGATCTGACATTTTTAAAACACTTTAAGTGCTGTGAATGCCTGTTTTGTTATGGCTTTAAAGTACTTGCAGTGCATTCAATGTGCATTAAGTGTGACGTGTACCTAGTCATAGGTGTTATG